CAACCTCGGCTTGACAACCAGCCTCCTGGGCTGCTACTTACATCAAATGACAACCTTCTAAATTCAGAAGGCAGAGTCCCAAAGTATCCCAGTTGTGACCTGGGGTAGAGACATTTCAGGAACTTGGATTTTGAAAAAAAATAAAAGGTGTCTCCAGAAGTGGTCAGCCCATTGCTAACAACGCAGCGTTGAGTTCATCCTGCGCTGTACGGCTCTCATCAGAGAGTGGTGGACTTGTCTTTTTTTCTAACTCAGAAACAAGTTTGTCTTGTGTGACTCATGCTTAAGGTCCTTTTGGATAAAACCTTTTTTTTTTTTCTTTTTTCCTTTAAATGAAGTGATGAATGCTTAGACTCTTTGCTGTCCTAGATGAAACAGATAAGTAGGGTATGTGGTCCCAGAGCTAAAATAATGTCAGTTACACCTTCCCAGATATCTAAGGATCTGAGAATATTGTGGACGATGACCAGAAAAGGAAATAAGGGAAAGAGGCAGTCTAGGAAAGGGAAGTTCTCACAGGGTCCACTCTTCACCCCTCAATGTTGTCTATGGGTGGATTGTAGGAGGCTAATTCCTGCCTTCAGCTGCAGTCCTCTGCTCAGCCCAGCAGTCTCTATCACAGAGCTCAAAAACCTCAGTCTCACAAATGGCCCTGGTTAATCTCAGTGGATCCCAAGCAAAATGGATGAAAGTGAGCACAACAGAGATTCGTTGGAATGTGCTCTCAGGTGCACACATGCCACCCCACACGTTTACATAGAACACACACACACACACACACACACACACACACACACACACACACACACACACACAGTGAGTGTGAGAGAGAGACAGAGACGGAGAGAAAACTAATACTAGAATTCTTTTGAAATAGGCACAGCCATATGAAATTTCCCTTGGGTTGTATCAGTTTAATATCAGGTAATACCAAGGGTCAGGAAGTCTTCCCCTTTTTTTGTTTTTGTTTGTTTGTTTGTTTGTTTTTTGTTTTTTGAGACAGGGTTTCTCTGTGTAGCTTTGGAGCCTATCCTGGCACTTGCTCTAGAGACCAGGCTGGCCTCTTGAACTCACAGAGATCTGCCTGCCTCTGCCTCCCGAGTGCTGGAATTAAAGGCGTGAGCCACCAACCCCCCGGTGAAGTCTTCCTTTTTCTTTCAAGTATTTATTTGGCTTTGACGATCTTCTTTTAAGTTCTGATAGAATGCTGTCAATCTGGCCATGGGGTTGTTGGGGGAGGTATTTTATTACTGATTAAGTCACATTGCTACTTGTATTGTTTCATGGTGTTGAGATTTCGTATGTTATGTGGATCTCAAAATTCATCTATTTCAATTAGAGTTTCAAATTCAGGGCACTAGAAGTCTTTAATATCAGTAGAAATAAGATCCATTTGTTTATTCATGTCTATCAAGTAGGTTGTCCTGACATGACAACAAAAAAGTTGTTCATAGTTTGCAAGGTTATGCAAGCTTTTAATCCCAGCACTCATGGGTCAGGGGCAAGGAAACTGGGAGGAGGTCACTGCCAGCCTGGGCTACATAGTGAATCTATGACAACTGGTAATACACAGAGAGCGCTTTTCAAAAAACAAAGATAAATTCTCCCTGTAAAATAGCTTTCACGGTACCAGAAGCACTTTTCAAGCTTCTAAAAGTGGAAGCCTTTGAACAGTCTTCTCCAGGTATGATTTCTAAGAACCTCACCAACGATCATCATGGCATGATAACCCTGGGTGCTGTAATAGCAGGCATACATCAGTGATAACCAACAGCTCTCTAATTGGACTTAAGAAATTCTCCCCCCACCCCAAACAGGGTTTCTCTGTGGCTTTGGAAGCTGTCCTGGAACTAGCTCTTGTAGACCAGGCTGGCCTCGAACTCACAGAGATCTGCCTGCCTCTGCCTCCCGAGTGCTGGGATTAAAGTCGTGTGCCACCAACGCCCGACAAGAAAGACTTAACAAAAATGAAACCAGGCTAACTACTCAGAGCTGGTGAAGTCTCTGTCGGGACCCATAAAAACAGCTCTACTTCATCTTGACTCAAGGTCAGAGAGTTCAAACCTGTTCTTAGTCTTCTGAGGTTAAATTCATAAGTCCTAAAGGTCTAAGGCGTAGCTACTGTGGGGTGTTTGATCTTGTTAATGAATGTCTTATCTAAATAACAGCAGACTTGGTCTGAGGTGTGTTTGTTTACTCGTGACCCCCAAGGCTGGATATTGGGAAATTGAGTCTAAGGTGTGGTTACCAAATGTTTGGAGAATTAAGGGAAGAAAGTCTGTTTGTTTCTTATACATGATAAAGAAGTTATTTGCCATGTTCCCCTTCTGGTTGAGGTACTTAAGCATGTTGAAGAATAAACGTGGGACATTCAGTATTAACTGAACTGCCTTCCTGACTCTATTCTGTGCCTCTGTCTTTTCTTAGCGTCTTTATCTGCTGTTTCTCAATCCACACTCCCCTCTCAGGTATGAACTGGGCAAATCGGCTGGATCCAACTGAAGCCCCACAAAGACGGGTTACAACAGAAGTCATGAATCTTGGAGGAGAACCAACAATCTCCACTTTAGTAAACCAGCATAATCCCTAAAAAAAAGGTACATGTTTTCCTTATACCCACAGAATACCATAAGTCTTCACCTGTCATCAAGGAAACTTCTCTTTGCAACAGACAGAGACCACTGCAAATGAACAACAATTAATTCAAACGGAGAGTTGTGGATGGCAGACTCAATGGACACACATATAAAACACTCCTGAATATGTGAGTCAAGGAAATTTTTTGAAGAAGGAGGTATAAAGGTTTTAAGAGCCAGAGGATCAGGGAGTTTGCCTAGAGATTGTGTCTCCTTCTGTGTAGACAGGGTTCTTTAGAGTAACAGAACTGAAAGAATGAATCTCTCTCTCTCTCTCTCTCTTTCTCTCTCTCTCTCTCTCTCTCTCTCTCCATACATATACATATATATGACATATAAGTATATACATAAACACACACACATATATAAAAGGGATTTATATGACTTGACTTATAGCTTGCTGTCCAGCTAATCCAACAATGGCTAGCTGTGAACAGAAAATCCTAGAATCTAGTAGTTAGTCCACAAGGCTGGATGTCTCAGCTGGACTTCAGTATATGCTGGAATCCAAAGAAGTAGGCTCCAATGCCATGGGAGTAATGGATGTGCTAAAAAAAAAAAAAACAAGAGACAGCAGACAAGGAGCAAAAGTTTCATTCTATCTTGCCATCATATAGGCTTCTAGCAGAAGGAGTGGCCTGGATTTATCCTCATGCCTCACGATCCTTTTCAAACACGTGTGTCCTCCCAACTCAAGATATACATTGATGGCATTTGGGGTCTGGGATAATAGTGGATTCAAACACTTCAAACCAAAGAAAAATAATCTCTCATAGGTGTGCTTCCATTTCTGGACTATAGTTCATTCCAGATGTAGTAAATTAGACAACCAAGAGTAGCCATCGCAAGTCCTCTCCTTGTCAACTTGACACACAATGATATCTCCTTTTGTCATGATTCATTCAGGTAATAATAGCAGCTAAATATAATATGATTATATTAAATGGAATCTCAAATGTATTATGTATCTAACCACATGATAATTACACCTAAGATGATGTAACTCGTTCTCATACAATGGCAAACACATTTGAAATTTAGAATAGGGGACAATGTCTCTTGTGGAATAGGGTTTCAGTATATCAAATTTAAATATGATAACATTCATAGTCTCTTAATTCATGTTACATCACTTGATAAAGAGATAGAAAGAAAACAGAAATATCTGTACAAAAGCATTCTTAGGAAAACTCAATAGAAATAGTAATATCAACTGTAATCTCCCCTTCTGTTACTGGTCACATGGTCTTAACAAGTGTTTATTATTATCTTCCTCTGCTACCGATTCTGAGTTTCCTCCACCTTCACCAGGTCTTGGCCCCTTCCTTGGAAAGGGACCCATTTCTTCATCCTGATGTGTCTGTGCTCATTATCATCCTTCCTGGATTAGGGAGTTGTAGATTCCCACTGACTTTAATCACAGGACAGGAGCACTAATAGACAGCCTAAAGGATCTCCTGCCCTGTAGACCTGATCCCTAGAGCCTTCATTGGGGAAATAGGAGAGATCTCCTGGGTAAACCAGGGATCGGTTGGGGATAGAAGACAGGAACTTGAGGGAGCAGGTTTGTTGGGCTGGGCTGGTGGGAGCAGGTTGGGCAGGGTGAGTAGGGAAGGTGGGTTGGGCAAGGGATGGAGAAGGAGAGTACTGAAAGAGATGTCTTGATTGGGGGTGGGGGGAATTTCAGGGTTTGGGAGAGCCCTGTTGCCAGGGAAACTTTCAGGCATCCATAAGGATGATCCGAGCTAAGACTTCCAGCAGTAGTGGAGAGGGGGCCTGAACTGGCCATGTCCTGTAATCAAATTGGTGACTTCCCTAATTGTCACGAGAAAGCCTTTATCTAGTAAGTATTGGAAGCAGATGCAGAGATCCACAGCCAAGCACCGGGCCACGCTCAGTGAGCTCTCCTGAATGAAAGGAACAGAGATTGTAGGAGACAGGAGGTAAAGGTCATGACAGAGAAAACCGCAGAGACATCTGACATGAGCTCATGGGAGAACATGGACTCTGGACCAAGTTAGGGAGCCTGCATGGGACTGACATAGGCCCTCTGCATGTGCGTGACAGTTGTGTAGCTTTGTCTGGTTGTAAGGCTCTGAACAGTGAGATCAGGACCCGGTGCTTAGCTAGCTTTGGGGAACCTGTTCCCTATTCTGGATGACCTTGCCCCACTTTGATGCAATGGGAGAGCTCAGTCCTACCTTCACTTTATGTGCCATGTTTGTTAAGACCACCGGAAGCCTGCCCCGTTCTGAATGAAAATGGAGGTGGGGGGGAGATGGGAGACTGGGTGAGGGGACAGGAGAGGAGGGAGGGGGAACTGTGGTTAGTATGGAAAATAAATGAAAAGATGTTAAATAAAATTTTATGAAATACTTTAAATGTTCTTGTGCCCCTCTCACCATTTTGCATCTTATGGAATTAGTGAAGGCTATTTCTCCAGGGCCTTCCAATTGTTGAGGATTAGGTTTTACACAGCACAACCTCTATAGCCTTACAACTTCCCTGAGAATTACAATGCCTTCTTTAAGTCTAAACCAAGGGATGTCTGGAATCTCCAACATTCTTTCATTAGTTCACCTTTTGAAAAATGCTTCAGTGAATTACTCAAGTAAACTTTTGACACCTTTTTTTTTTCAAGACAGGATTTCTCTGTGGCTTTGGAGGCTGTCCTGGAACTAGCTCTTATAGACCAGGCTGGTCTCAAACTCACAGAGATCTGCCTGCCTCTGCCTCCCGAGTGCTGTGATTAAAGGCGTGCGCCACCAACGCCTGGCCTTTTGACACCTTTTTAATCTGTGCAAACCTCCACATTAAACATACAGTCTCCACTCAGAGCATATCATAAACTCAGCCTGATCTAGTTTTATGTTCCTTTCACCATTTTCCCACACCATTAAAACCGAATCGCACGCTGATTCTCCACACTTCTGCTTGGACAAATTAGCGAAATCATTAAGCTGCTAGTAGTGTGGCACACCTTCTCACGGGTTAGTTTCCACTGCCCTTCTAAGAGCCTGCTTTGCTGTAAGTTTGCTTATAGGTCTAGAGGCAGCAACATCAGTATTATTTGGCCTGGCCTTTCCTTCAGAGAAAGTCATTTATGGATTAGCAGACAATGAAGGATTGGTGTAATCATCTAATGTGAAAAGAGAATATTTCAAAGGGTAGGGCTGAGGGTACCACTTCCTTAGGTGAAATAAACCCTTAAGCATCTGAGGATTCACAGTTCTCAGCTGTAAATAGGGTCCTTCCACACATCCCCACCCCGAGCACCGAGCATTAGGGTCTCATTCTTTACCAATTAATGCCCTTATTTAAACTGCCTACGATGTCTGAGGGTGAGACGGGATTTTTTGCTGTAATTCAGTCCACCATACAACGAGGGCTTCAGTTTGATGTTTACAACTGTAGCTCTATGGCTGCTGGAGAGAAGATTCTCTTCCAGGGCACACTTAGAAACCTCTGGATTGTTTATTTGCATCTGGACCTGGTCAATTTTATTACTATGTTCTCTGTTGTCCTCACCGTATTCTGAAATGGAAGAAGTTGGTTAGTTTTATCACTGAACTCATCTCTATCAAGCAGCAATTTTTCCAGAGTTGCTAACTGAAACCCACCAGTGGCATCATTTCTCTTATTTTCTCACAAACCATCAAAAGTTTTATATACAAGGTTCCCAAATACATTGCTACCCACAGTTAATGAATAAGGATAATAAAATCCATTTAGCTCCTTAACTTTTTAAATATAGTTCACACCATGGGCTTTCAGTACTCTCCAGGCTCCCAGAAGAGAGAGTAATAGGACAGGCTTCTGAAACTGAAGGTGATGGTAGAAAAGACAGCTTATTACACACACACACACACACCGCGCGGGGGTGTGTGTGTGTGTGTGTGTGTGTGTGTGTGTGAGAGAGAGAGAGAGAGAGAGAGAGAGAGAGAGAGAGAGAGAGAGAGAGAGATGATTCATCCTTATATTTCTGTTGTTCTAGGGCGATGTCTGGTACCACAATCTGTATAATTGGTGTACTTTAGAGTAACACACGTATAGAATGAATGTCTGTCCCTCTCTCTGTGTATATACACACAGGAAGAGCACACCAATTGGTTCATGAATACT